TGGAAGTGGGAATCCTGAGGAACAGGATCACCAAGCAACTGATTCAACTTAGGGTGATATTAAACATCCTAACTGTTAGAACTTATATTTACATTTAAAGAGCAGAAAAACTCTAGGAGGCCTTGTGAAACTCATGGACTGAAAGTTAACACTCCTGGGGCACTTAAGCATGGGCTAGCTCTAAGACAGAGATGTCTGTAGTGTAAGTGAGTAAGAGGAACATGGATTGTTCTTTTAGCAACTTTTCTCTCTTTCATGTTTGTGGTTCTTTGTGCTTACTGTTAATAGATCAATCATGATTAGAGGCACCAGCTTAGTGTTCCCATTAACCATCACCACGCCTCTTGTTGTAATGTTTGTGCTGGTTTCAGCTGGGACAGAGTTCATTTTCTTTCTTGCTGTGTTTCAGATTTGGTATGAAAGGAATGTCAATAATGCATATTGTTTTAGTTGTTGCCAGGTGATGTTTATATTTTTCAAAGACTCTTTTCAGCTTCCCATAGAAGCTGAGAACGAGCATAGACAGAACAATGGAAGTGCCAGTGGAATATAAATGGGGTTAGCCAGGGTGTGGGGGGGTGGGCAGTATTTGCAGTTGCTGCTGGGGAAGGTACCAATTTGCTGGATGGTGAGAGTGATTTGAGTCATTGGTATTGGTACTTTCGTTTTTGTTATTTTTCTATTAAACTGTCTTTATCTCAACCCACGAGTGTCTTTTTTTTCCTTTTCCTTTACCCTCCTTTTCTCCCTCTTCTCCCTGTCCTTCTGCTGGAAGGGGGAGAACTGTGCAAGTGGTTGCATGGTGCAAGCTGCTTGCTGGGGTTAAACCATGACAATGGTGTTAGTGGTTTTGCTCACACGGACTAGAGTGACTGCCATTTTGCAGAATCAAACTTCACTGAACAAAGGCAGAACCACATTTCCCAACATGAAAATACAGAAGATTAAAAAAACCACAGTAAATCTCACTATTTCTACTAATTTACCTAGACTTAAACAATGGGAGGGTGTGGCAGGCGTGGGGTGAAGCCTCTTCAAGGCTTCAGGCTTCCCAGTATAAGAAATCAGAACAAAAAGAAATCCCAGCAGCTTTGAAATGGCCATTCCAAAACTGAAGTGGGATAGTTATCAGGAAAAACTCCTTTACCTGTGGCGTATCATACTGCTAAACACATCTGAGATTGCTCTGAACACTATCCCTCAGACAAGTGGTATCTCACCAGAGCTAATCTGCTTCATAGGGGAATGCAAAGAGAATACATTATTTGCTGCATTGGGAGTGAGCCAGACTCCAGGTTTCCTTCAGAAAGGGCACGTCAACCCTTTTCACAGAAATTAGTAGAAAAAAACTCTATATGGATACAAAAGGCAAGGACTGCCTGTGATTGCTGTACACCTTAGCAAAAGGCAGACCCAAAGTCAAGAGTGTCAACTTAGTCAGAGGCTTTCCATGTAGTCTTAAAGATGTCACCTGTCCTTAAAACTAGCAGCATCCCGGCAGGACAAGCCTGAATGTACTGCATACTCACACAGATACATAATCTGTCCATGCCTGTTTCTGCATGAAACCCCATCATCATCTGGATGGGGGAACCCAAAGGCTACAGTAAGCTCAGTCTACAGTTTCTTATTCAGCTGCTTCATTCCTGGTTAAGCAGATAGCCACTGATACCAGTGCGAGCTTGCCTGAGTAAATCAGTGTGAAAATTAAGAACCAAGTTCTGAAACAGCAGACAGATTTCTCTCTTCTCCTTAATATCATACATCTTCTTACATCCCAGTCATTATGCCTTTTTAAGCGATTCAGGAAAAAAACCAAACTTCCTCTGCACTTGCTGCGTTGTTTCCCTTCCCTCCCCCTCTCAAATCAAATTTAGAAAAAAACAGGTAAATAAGCTGTGTAACTGCCTCTTGCCTCACCATTTCAGCTTGATGCCCTTCACAACAATCCCAGCTGACAGGTTCAGTGCTGAGCTGCACAAAGAGCTTCCTGTCGGCGTGGGTGGTCTGAGTCACTGCGCAGTGAATCTGACAGCTGAGTGTGGTGATATAGACCCGGGGCAACAAGCGGGCTGGGGAGGTGCAACTTGGGTTTCATTTGCTGCACATTTGTCTTGAATCCCACGGGCAGGGCACAGCTTGCTGTGGCACACTACAAGGCTCAGTGAGCTATTCTCTTCACTTGAGAAGCTAATTCTCCTGCTGTAAACAAGTATTTAGATTAGCAATTCATCCATTCATTTGCAGGGCATCTATCTAGCTATCCCTGAATGATTGCAGAATGAGGCACTCAACATTGCTTATGATATAGGCACAAGGGACTAATCTAAAATACAGGCTCAGTGTCCGGTGATTTATATCAGCAGCTTAGACCCTGATACTACAAGCTGTTATAACAAGGCAGACGTTTGCATTTGAGTAGTATCCTTATCAGTGAATCAAGGGTGATGTCCTACACAGATGTCTTGAATCAGAAGCAATCAGAATTTGCCACAGGTAACAGAGAGTGGAAAGAGTTTCCTCCCACACCTGGATGCTTTGCATTAGATCCGACTACAGCTAGGAGAAAGCACCAGTACATAATGTTTGGAAAGTGGGATATTTTAGTTCATAACACACTCAAGGCTCCATCCTACTTCCATATCAGTCAGACACATTTCTTGGTTATCACAGAACACACTCAGCAGTCTCTGGCCCATTATAACTGGGAAGAAGTCTGGGTTCTCCTTACCCTGCCAGTGGCTTACACTGTAATTACCTATTCATGCTGCAACCAGTCGCGTGCACTTGCTCTCAGAATGAACAAGATCAACTACCATAGATGTGCAAGGACAAGAAATTAAATATTTATAAACAGTCGTATTTGTTCTGTTTGTTTATTACAAACAACTGAAGGTCCTTGTCCTTAGAGAGAACGAGCTAACCAGAAATTTTTGGATGTTAAAGTGCAGATATTTCTGAGTTATGTCCAAGCATAAAAACATATGAAAATGTTTAGAAGGGGAAACGTCTATATTTTTTCTCCATTGTTTAACTAAAAAATTGCAAAGAAGTTTGCTTAACGTTTCCAGGAGGAAAAATCATCTTGGGGTGAAGTAATACGTGGAAACAATTAATCCTAAAGATGAATTTTTCAACAAAGTATCATGATGTGCAGAAGGGGATAAGGTAGTAGAGGTTGTAACACACAGTCAGATCCTAAGGTGAGTTGAAACAATTGAGAAGGAGATGATGGCATGTGAGGGCTTCCTTTTGTCAACTTAATGGCAAAACAGTGGGCAAGGTTCAGATCCAAAAACATATCCATAAAGAGATACCCAAATCTGCCATTATATAAAATACCTCATATACACGTACATATTTATATATTTACTATATCCATCGTTATATAAAATCCCATATATGCATTTATAAATATATTATAAATTTTATCTATAAATTAATATAGCTATTTCTATATGTAGAAATAAACCATACATGGTATTCACTTTTTTGTCATAAAATGCATTCTCTTTCAGATGTTTTGAGAGTAGGGGCTTGTTAAAACAGGACTTGTCACATACAATATTTAACAGATGTCTGGTTTTAGATAACATGCCCATTGACAAGATCTGGTTCTCTCCTGAATACTTTTATGCCCTAAAGCTTGGGTTTGCCTAGATTATTTCCCTCCTTCTTCCTCCCCCACCCATATCATTCCCCCTTTCTCCTTCCTTGCCTCTCCAGGGTCTACTCATGAGGAAGCTACAGGGCTGAGAGGTACACTGCAATTTTGGTTTACATCTGGTGTGAAGAGCCTAGCCTCTTACTTACTCTCTAGCATCCCTGTCTGCCGCTTCCTTCAGGTTCGTTTCCCTGAGGACAGCTGAAGTTGGATTGTGTCCCAGGGCCGCAAGACTGAATTATTTGGTGATTATTTGCACCTCTGTCCTCCTGGGTTCTGCTGAGTTATAGCAATACTCCCTAGAGTTTATAATAAACACACTTTCGAATGAGAAAGAAGGTGCGTATATATTTCACTTTGGAATTCTCTATCAGATGCTTAATATTTGTCCTCAGCTAATTCATCTGTAGTGTACACCCTCATCCCAGTGTTTGACCTGCTCCTGCTGGAGCAGTGGATGAGTGTAAGTGGATGCATGGAGATGAATGTGATCAAACGATCTCAGTGAAAGCTGAGAGGAGGCAACAGAGGATTCCTTACAAGGCAGAATTATACAAAAAATGCCTAGCTGTTGAGTTTGCTCTCTGTATCCATTTATACAGGCCAGATACTATACTCAGAATTTCAAACATCATTTCATAAGTATCAGCCCAACTTTGGACAATGGAGTTATATTTTCTCTTGAGCAAAGTGCAATCAAGATGCCAAAGGGACTAGACTTCCAAATTATAACTACTGAGGACAATGGCATGGTGACAAACATATTAAAATTAAAATAAAGTATTAATGATATTTTATTTGAACAAACTCAGTGTTTTAAAGTTTCTTTCCTAACTCTTGACTTCCAGATAGCAGAAAACACTGTAACACTAAGTCTCAAATGACTTACAGTGGCCACACTGACCTCAGATCCTAAATCAGAGCGTCTTTTAATGATAGGCAAATGATGGAACAAGTCACTAAGATGTCAGCAATCCAGCTGATAATGCTTTGAGCAGGGGGTTGGACTAGATGGTCTCCAGAGGTCCCTTCCAACTTTAGCTATTCCATGATTTGGTGGCAGAATGGTTTCTATGCACTTTTCTCAGCTGGGAATGCTGGACTCGCACAGTGTAAGTGTTAAAAAATATTAGGACACATCATTTTTGCTATGCTGGTAATGTGGTAGTCTCATAGCCCTGCTGTCTTGCATGTAATTTCTGCAAACTACAAGTCTTTTGGGTTTTTTCCACCCTTTATCATGCCAATTTATGACACGCAGTCATATGATATATAGTGATTGGTCCTATAAAGCTATGGTTATCGCAGAAAAGGAAAGGGAATTCAGAAAACTTACTCATTTCCATGTATTCTGGAGTCAGCCCAGTGAAAGGTTCCAAGATGTAGTCAAGATCCCATTGCTGAGGGTCTTTTGATTGGTTGGTGTCCATTTCCTTTGGCTCAGTTCTTTCATCCTTCAGCTTCCTGAAGAGCTTCTTTAGCTTCCTGGGGATCAAAATTTCAGATTGAACCAAGTCTTTTTTTTTTTTCCCAACAAGATTTGGCCCAAATCTTTGTGCAGCAACGCAGAATGTATATCATGTTACTCTGGTGCCCCATAGGCTTACTTACACCATCTTCTGAAGTTCTAATGCTGCTTATTGGCAGGTGACAGGCTGCTGGTGGAAGCAGTTCCTTATTCCTGTGTCAAGAGGAAAATTACAACAGCATAACGCTGTTAAAATGGAGTTGAACCCACTACTTTTAAATAATTGTTTCTCTCTTGGTATGTGTTGAATAGGCATCTTCCTAAAGCTCAAGTACCTTGGACATAAATAATAGTAGTAAGCAATATTCTCAAAAACAACACACTGAGTACCTCTCCCTTAAGAAAGAAAGAAACAAACAAAAAAAAATATCAGAAGGTAATGTTATACCTTCATACCACATACCTAGCACAGGTGCATTTTTCTTTCACCATGAAACTGGGGAACTTCCAATATAGTATACTTTTAAGGTCAAAATGACCATATATATTGCCAAACAAAGAGGGTGCAAGAATGTACTGATTCCTAAACTTGGTGGACTTATGAACATTTTATCAGAAAAACTTCCTGTTGTTTAAAGCAAAAGGAAATGAGCATCTCTGCTAATAAATCTGCAGCACCAAAAAAAAAAAAAAGAAGTGTCTCCAAGATACTGACAGATCCAAAGCCATTTTGGACTCTAAAAATGAATATTATTGACCTAAAGACAGCCCTGTGACCACCAGAAAACACCTGCAGCTCTTCAGGTTCCAATGCTTTCTTGTCACAAGCACATATACCTGAGTTTATCTGAATAGACAAAAAAAGATGCTGCTTATGGAACCTTAAAGGGGAAGCACTCTTTTCTTGAACCAAAATGATGCCACAACTAATAAAAATAATAAAATATGTACCTATGAAATGTTAAGTATAACCAATGCCTTAATTTTACTAATGGCCTTTCATCCTGGCAAAACACAATTCCCTTGCTTCTATCTAACTTGCAAACAGGGACCAAACTAACAGAGAGAATAAGATTCATGAGAGCGTTCAGCAAGGTGAGTAGAATTTGGTCTCAGAGAGGTGTATTCCTGTCACATACAAACAGAAATCTTACCTTAGTCACTTCATATTCACTAACAAATTATTGCTAGAAAAGTGTCACTTGGGATACATGCAGTAACAGCCGCTTCAGTACTCCACAATGCAGTTCACACTGGAACTCACTGGGCAAGAACTGGAACTCAGTGGAAGTTCTCTGCAAGTTTGTTCCTAAGCTGCTGGAAACTATGGAATTCTATAGCTACTAACATCAAAATTGAAACATTTATTGAATGCTTATGCGACAAATGTATATTTCTGAAGTAATTCTTTTCCTAAGAGTGTACCTATCACGTGTAAGGCAAAGTATGTACACCTATGTAGACCCTGAAAAACTTACTTCACCAGGAGTTAGATGTTTTATGTACTAGCACAACCATAAAATCTTCCTTCAAAGATGTCTCATAAGAGTTTTAAGGGTTCTGACTTCTCCTTCAGTGTGTATAAAGGTGAAACACTGAGCTAGCATACAGCCACTGTTATGGTGAGACTTGGAAATTCCCACTTTCAGTCAGAAAATATTTCTGCTATCTGAAAAGTATACATCTTGCAAGACCAATTAGTGAGCTTTCACTGCCTCCAAAGCTGTAAAGCAAACCTGTTTCCTACCAATTCTTAAGTAAACACAGATCAGTTATGTCTCCCAGCTCCCGCAGATCAGAAGAGGTTGTATCAGAGTTTCTCATTTTGACCACCTTCTGCAATAGCATCACCTATTTTGGCCAGACTATAAATTACTTACATGGGTGAGCAATTATTTGTGCAAGTATTTCCTCAGTAGGAAAAGTAGTATCAATCACTGTCCCACTGAGATGGGGATACAAATTTCATGACACTGACAAATACATAAACTTCTTAAGTGGTATAATCCCAGAGTAAAATGAATCCATCTCTAAAAGAAAGGTAAAGTATTCCAAATGTCCCCCACAGATGACCTTTCAAATGCATATGCATCAATAACTTCATACAGTTTTACACATTGAGAAATTCCCGTGGAAAAATGCAATACAATGAGATACGTCTTCAAAATCAAGGAAGTGAAATACAGTTGAATTAACACAAAATGTCAAGTTTTATACTTATTGTATGTCTTGGTTTCGCAGATGAAATTCATTTACATTATTTTATAGCTCTTCACATATGTGCCATATGAGTGAAAATACAGACTAATTCCAGTGATATTTTGCCAGTAGCATAAGCAGGGCTCTCCCACAAACTTTCCCCTCTCAGCTTGCAATAAATCCTTTGAACTAGAGGTGTGTGGCCGGAAGACACGAGTGTATGGGGAAATGGTAGGGGCTTTCATTTGTACCTCCAGTTAAGCAGAACCACTTTCTCAGACTCTGAATTAAGTAGCAGGGCAAGGCTAGCTGGCAAACACGCTAAAGGCTTTGCTGGGTGGGTTTATTGCTTTGTTCGTGAATATACACTGAGCCACACAGGAACACTGTGTCACCACATAGCACAAGGCTCTACAGCAATCTGGAAATGACCACAGTGGCTGCAGAATTTCTACATTCACCAGTGTTTACAGGACCCGTTCAATTTCATCACCCTTGTGGAAGAAATTGGGAAGAAAAGACACTCAAACCAGATCTAGACTGAATCAGGCCTTGTCAGTCCCAGGATCACAAAGCCACGAAAATCAACAGATCAACTCCAGCTTTTGTTCCAGGTGCAGCTGAGACATAGTTTGTAAGTCTGATGATGACATACTCAGTACTTTGGCAATACCCAGATACACTGGAGCTAAACAAATACTTTCACTACCTAGAATATTCTGTTTATACAGTTTTAATAAAAGGGTGGGGATATTTAAAATACTTCACAAGAAAGAATTAGATGGATCCTTACAAAGACATTTACCTCCTACATCATGCAAACTCAGCCATTTCAAGCCACTAAAATTTCCTTTCTCCCCCTCTGCTTTTATGGCAATCGAGGGAACTTATCTGTGACAGAGGTGATGTAGTATTCAGAGGGTAGGAGACTGGGGGCAGGATTTAAAACAGTCAAAGAATTCCCAGGATGCTCTTCCAGCATATCCCAATTAATTTCCTAATGTGAGGGACTCTCAGAGGACAGTGAACAATAAGTTCAAGACAGTGCTGATTTCTGTTCCAATAAAATGATATGGGCTATAAATGTCCCTCACATTTCCGTGGGCAGATGAGATTGGAGAGCATCTCATTGTCACTGTGCAGCAGCTGAGATAAAATTTGGGTGTGTTTAGACATGAAGTCTGTACATGTGTGATCTAATCCTCTGGTTATAGCACCATGGAGTCAAGTTATGGAGTTTAATGCATACAGATAACTCCCCTGAGTACACAGTAACTAAAACAATAGTTGTTTTTAATGTTTATTTGGGAATACACTAAATCCAGGGCTCAGTTACTCAGAATAATTTTTAATTTTTCATGTGGCTATCTATAAGCCAAGCGTGAGGAGTGGCATCTTTAACCATTTTGAATTAAGCTTTGAAGAGTGTTCTTATTTTCATTTTTATGTAATTTTTAAAAGGATCAACTAACTGAAAGAAAGCCAAACTAATTATTTTACGTTTTTCAGAAAAAAAAAAAAAGTACCTTTGTGTCATATCCAAGCATGTGACGTTTCAGACCAAACAGAAATGTGTCAGAAGTTAAAGGAACAGAGAACAAGGATTTGCACAGTGCTATTCTCCAGCTATACGGCAGTAGGGCCATGAAAATGAGTTTTGCAGAACTCTACAGCTGCACATATGATTGTGTTATTAAAACTGAGTAAGCTCTTTAAATACGCTTGTGTGAAATCTGTTTTTTAATTACTCAGATCAAGACTTTTAAACAAAGTTGACAGACAATGATAATCAAGACATATTTTAGATTCTGATTTCTGCATGCCAGGCAGTCCCACCAATAAGAAAGAGGTAGGTTTACCCATTCAGGATGAGAAGCTTTGTGCCGAAGAGGCACATGCAGCAGTTTCATGACCCCCTCATAGCCATATAAATTTAGACAAACAGAGAAAACTGTAGAACTGTAGCATTATTTCTGGTCCTTTTGACAGCAAACATCAAAAAGCAAAATACATTCTTGAGGAGACTGAATAGTATGAGAGAAGAATGAACGTCAGATCAAGGAGAAAGAAAGAAGAACAGGTTTTGGTCAGAAGGCTGTGTCTAGAGCAGTTAAAAATGATGCTGCAGTTTCTCACAAGGAATTGACACCAAACTGTGGTTTTAGGTAAGAGGTGGGAACACGGTTTAATTCTGTTTGTAATTCCTAATATTACCAATAAGCATCCCATTATGCAAGGTAATCAGCATCTGAAGAGAGCATAAAGTCACTACAGGAAAATGCCCCAACCCTTAAGAACCCACAAGATTTTGAGGAGGAAAAAAAAAAAAAAAAGATGAGGAAAAGAAGAGAGAAATCAAAATCAAGTGACCTTGGCTGTGCTGCAAGCCTATGGTGCACTCACATGAAGCCTCCTTTTAAAAAAAAAACCACAACAGACAGATGATGATTCAACAGCGTCTCTATAAAATAAAAAGGAGTAGCAGGATTTGAGGTATCCAGGAGAAGACATGAAGATGATTTCAGAAAAATAAGAAAATTGTGGAGTGAGAAAGAGTGGAATATGTAGAGGCTGGAGAGGCAGGGCATCTGGGAGGCAGGTTGAAATAGGACAGATGCAGGAAAATGATTTTGTTGTTGCAAGTCTTTGTGTCTTCAGTGGCTGTGCAGTCCTCATGATGTATCGTCACCAGAGCTTGCCAGAAAGAGTAGAACTGAGGATCAGTTTACCAGTTTCTCAAGACTCTCAGTTAACAAATGCCCTTGGGTACTGCAAAAGCAGATCACCTGTGACAGTCACCAAGAACTGGATTTGAAGTATTGCAAGGCAATACTTGCTAAAACAGAGATGCAAATGGAGACTCTACATGAGAAGACAGAAAACCCCTAGAATCCAGCTGCCAGGGTTGAATGATTACTTGTATCTGGTGCTTTTTAAGGCTTTTCCAGTTGATGCTTTTGTCTCTGTAGCATGATAGAAAAGATACAGGGAGAAAGCTAGACAGAAAAGACTATTAGGTTGAGTAGCTTGAGCACTTGTGTCTAGAGAACAGGAAGTGCAGTGACTCAGATTCTTGTGTCCTTGCCTGTAATTTTGTTTGTTGCTTTGGGGAAGGAGCACTAAAGGACCAGGTTTTGTTCAGTCATATTCCTACAGTCTATTCACACAAGGAGACACCTTCTTATATGTACAGGTAGGGGGACAAAAAGGAGGCAGGGAGAGAAGGAAAGGACTTTAATCCCTCATCCTGTTCCACAAATTCATAGTATAGTCATGCTTCCTTGGCACACTCAGACCGCTTGGATCCTACAGGAGTTTCAGCTGTGTCTGGGATTTATTGATTTCTCAAATAGAAAAAAACTACGACCAAAACCAGGAAAGAAAAAAAAAAGGCAAAAAAATATCCCATTAATTAAGAATAATTTATTTAAGGTGAAAAGCAACATAAAAGATAACAGCTATGAAAAGGTGTCTTTCAAATTATTTTAGTAACTCTTGGTATTCTCATCCAGCGTAGTTAAGAACATTTTGAAGTGATGGAAACTGATGTTGAAAAAAGGACAAAATCATGGGCCCACTAAAATCAATGGGAGTTTTGCCATTGACTTCAATAGGGCCAGTATTTCACCCTAAGGGTTTATCAACAAGGTCAAAGACAGAGACTAATAAAATAAGCACACAGATATTTTTCAGTAAGTTCAGAAAAACAGAACTAAAGAAAAGGAGCCTTAAAAGAACTCTAGGTTAAGGCCCTCAAGCCCTGCAGCCTTTTAGGGTCAATTACTGTGGAAACGGTAAAAGAATTATGGTATGTGACACATCCGAGTGAACTGTGACATATTTACATCTGTTAAACTTGTGAATTCCAGCCCCACAGAACACACATTTCAATTTAAGAACACTTAGTTTTCCATAATTCAACTGCTGTTGCATTTACCTAGCTGTTTTGATATTCTTGGGTGCAGGAATTGAAAAAGAAATCACAGAAAGGTTTAGAAGACAAGCAAGTCTCATCTGTCAGAGCTGTGCAGCCATTTCTCCAGAAATGGTGAAGGAAAAAGCAAGGATGTGACCCAATGACCCCAGACAATGCAGGGCTGCCAGTTTAACTCCATAACTCTTCAGCCAGCACTGACTGTGGATAAGCCAGAATGAAGACACTGAGTAATGGTTCCCAGTTGCAGCAATGTTTGGGGTGCTAGAGACATAATGGATGGATATTGCTTATAATCGCAGTCTGTCATCTACTTAGTAGCATTTTTTGAGTGAAAGAGGCAGCAAATAGGAATAAGGCTTTGTGATCGTCTACAAAACAATTAAAATGCCTGAGGTTTTAGGGTGAATGAAAACAAAAGGTTTTCTAAAAATAATTCTGAAATCCTGAGATTTTAATAAGGAAGAAAACTCTTTTGATCTGGGTGATCATACATCTTAGCAGAGAGATACCTCCATGTTACAGACATATAGAGAACAGTTCCAGATTCTGAAGAGCAAATCACCATTTATGATAGTCCCTTCTGCCTCTCCATATGGGCAAGGCTGATTGTAGCACTTGTAGTCTGCCCTGTGAAAAATACAGGGATCCAATGGAAGAATCTGTGTTATTCACTCTGCACAAGGCAAGGGGAAAAAAAATAGAGCTGCTGAAACTGGAGACAGAAAAGATTAATCTACCTTTCTGCCACAGGAGGACTGTTCATCACAGTGCGTAGCCTGTGCAAAAGTAGACACCAAAAAATAGAGCAAGGGCCTGATGAAGACAGAGATGTCCTGGGAAGGAAAATAAAAAAACTCATTGGTAGAAAAAGGATGATCTGACAGAGGAGATGAGCTGACTGTAAGAGATTAGCAGGGAAAGCAGGTAGCAGAACAGAGAGAATAGGATACAGTCGGAAGCCAGACAAGAAGGCTGGAGGGCAGAGAACAAGGGTATGTTTATGTATACATCTGTCACATCTCCTAACAGCAGCTTGTATAGACATAGTAGACTATGTGCGAGAGACAGACATGCCAGAACTACTACTTGTGCAACTCATGCATGTTTGGAGTCCTTTTTGGTCTGAATTTATATGTGTCAAGCAGACCTACGTGCAGCCCTCTGAAAAATCCAGTTGATGAGTATTCAAAGTGTGTCTGTGTGCTTGTTTATGTGGGGCAGATTAGGTACAATAGAGTAGCATTAAGGATCTAGTCCAAACCAGTAGAGCGGCTCATGCAGAAATAGAAGGCTAACTCTGATTTAATTAACTTAAGCATTCAGTAAAGCACTGTGATTCTCCTGATGCAAACATGTCCAGTGAGAAGGGTCAAGCCCTATAGACATACGTGTGATATTCTTGTGAGTGCAGACTAGCAAAGGAAAACCAGATGTGCTTATTTCAGGATGACAAGATAGCATTGTGACTGAAATGAGGTATTTCTCTGGGAAGAAGAGGGTGAAAGCATGTTTGTTTTTAAAACTGAGACCACCATAGGTTGTTGGCAGAAGGGTGGGGGAGCAGAAATGAGATTGAAATAGGATGAGGTTGTCATATTCTTGCACCAAGAATTGTAGTGAGGGAATTGAGAAATAATTTGACAGGAATTTTCTGTTTAGACTGGATCAGGCTCTGCTTTCATGAGTCAAAAATAATAAATACAGTATTTCTAACATCATAAAATCCCCATTTTAAAAGTCTGGTAGCAGTAAGTTTTTGGAGGATGGGAAAAAAAATCACACCAGGTTTATTCTGAGAAAGCTTTAAGCCTTCAACATGTTGGATATTTTGGGAATGATTTACTACCCTTCTCTCAAAATAAACTGTAAACTCAATGAGATGTAGACAGAAAACAGGCCTCCATATTGAACTTTGACACAAGTATAATGAAGCATCCATAACCCACATTTGATTTGTTTGGGAAATGTTTTGGGGTTTTTTTTTCCTCTCTATTTAAATTTCTTTCAAATAAATGCTTTTGCTAGGAAAAGGGAGGAAAATGTCTCATTTTAAAAATATTTCATAATCTTTTAAGCATCACTCATCTTGTTCTCTAGTTAGCATCTTCAAGGCCTTCCTTAAGGATGTGATCCAAAAGCTACTGACACTGGAGTTGTAAGGATTCTGACTAACTGCAGTAGAGTTGAGGCTTATGTCTAAGCCAGACTTTTCATCTAATACAACATTTCACAGACCACTGCCACCAACAAGGGTGATTCAGTTAACAGAAACAAGAGCAAACTCTCAAGAGGCAGGAGCAGGACATTATTAGTGGATTCTCAGTGCCTGAAGATCCCTTTGACACTGGAGACAGACCAAGAGAGATTTCTTGCTGTATTTGGAGCGTAGGACACTGCACTAAGCATCCTGTGGCAGACAGCCACTGAGCAGCGTGTCAGCATCTCTCCCATACTCTACCTCCTGCATCATACAGTGACATGCTGACATACCGGCACCTTAGAAATGTGTGGACTTCATCTGTAAAATGGTCATAGATCAAGTTATACATTTTAACATCTTTTATGAGCTATTGCTTTCCTGCACGCCATCTTTCCTCTACTTTATACTAATTTGTATTCAATACTGCTACCCTGAAAGCTTCTCTAAAACTTCCCAGGAGATCTATCATACTTTGCCTGTTTTCCCAGGTTTCTAAAATTAATTTAGATCAATTATTTAATATATTCAATCACTTTCTTTAAGCCATTTACTGCAGATATAGCCAATTATTCAACATAAAATACAGCCAGATCATTTCATCACAACCAAAAATGTGATTTATCACCACATTCAATTAGAACCCACTGAAGGCAGTGGCAAAAGTCCCATTCAATTGAATAAGGATCAAGCCTTTAATTTACTGTGTCATAGGAATAACGCATGGTAATGGAGAGGGCTGGGATACATACGGGATTCCAATTTCAAATAGATTGTTTTGAATCAGTTGTTTTCCAAGCATAATGATGCTCAGCTGAATACAGAGTTCCATCAAACAGCCTCCTGGAGCACACTGTAATTAAACAAAACCATAGAGTGTGAAGGGACTAAGAGAATTAATTTAAAAGTACCCACCTGGGAAAGCTACCAATGTCTATATATGCCTTTCGCCCCTGCCACCAATTTGCACTGGAGCACAGAGATCATTGATCATTGCAATTCTATGCTTAACAAGGTATTTCATCTCCACTCATAAAACTGCATTATGAAAAATATGCACAGCTCTGAAATAACTTACTGTGCCCTGGGGCTACTACATTTCCTTTTAAAATATTTACTATATAATCAATGTAATAAACATAATGCAGTATCACCGATACTCTTCCAATATGATGTCTCCCAAGGGGGAAGAAAGTCTTCAATCTTGCGAAGACTTATGCATAAGCTTTATTGTAAAACCTTGAGTACGTCTATTGATTTTCAAGGGAATACCCACAGCAGTTAAAAGGCATTTAAATAAAAAAGAAGAAAGTTTACAGGTTTAGCACAAAATGGCTATAGCTTTTGAGGTTATTAAAATTGCTATGCTTCTAGTGATCTACAGAATAAGAATCTAGATTCCAGTTTTGTCATAGGTTTCCCAAGGTCCTCAGTCAAATCATGTAATGTTTGTGCATTAGTGCCCTGTTGTAAAACATAGAAATGGTGAAGCTTCACCTAAGAAAGACTGTGAAGTACTCAAAACTGCAGAGAGACAGACATACAAGTGCCTCAGATGAAAAATTTGGGGTTTGTGTATTTATGTTGAAGATTTAACATGTTGTTTTAACATGTTTTCTGTTTTTCCTTTGTTGTCTTGAATCCACTGAAATACACTGAACACATATCTCTTTTTGTTAAGGTTTTTTTGTTCAAATTTCGTATGTACTTACCTCTTCCATTCGATAACCATCAAACACATATACATAATGACCAGGACGGCCAACAAACCTGAAACCAATGACAATATATGAAATAATATTAAAATAGGAAAAAAAAAAGCTTTAACAAAATGACTGTTCATTTATATTAGCTAAAATATTTCAGCACTAGCTACTTCAACATAAATTGTAAAGGACTTGACACCTGTTCAACTTTGATTATTTAAAATTATTTCAAAGTAGTAAGCTTCTACAAATCTTTTTCTACTACTTTTTGATGAAATAATTTTAATAAAATAATTTTCTGTGCTAAAAGATAATAATCTCCCTCTTTTTATTAGAGATCACAAACAAAACCGAGAACACATATCCTAACTCACATTGTCTTGTATCTGAAGAATGCCCTGAATGGAGTTATTTACACACCTATACACAGTCAAGACTCATCTGGCTACACGGGGAGAAACAGTGAGAATGACTTTATTATAACCATACAACACCAAAAAAAAATGGTTAAAAAAGAAAGAAATCCGTGATATTTTTCATTAATGTCTTACAATACTTAAAACTGCTAGTAAAATGTATCTTTAATACTTAAATCAACGATGCTGAATAAGATTAGTGAAGAGTATAGATTAACAAATTTTACAGCCCCCAAAAGCAACAGAAAAGTGGTATGAAATAGAATCCAGAGGATGTTTTAAACATTTTTGCCAAAGTTTGAGCACACAATCATTTTAAACTTCCCATTCAAAAGCATGTGTTATACTGTGGATAACTGGGTCCCAAAAGGCAATGATCCTGAACCCATAGGAAGTCACACTTATTTAGCAGGACAGCTGAATTAGCTTTTTGGTCAATCAGTTCAGTTGCCAAAACATGCAACTTCCAGTTGACTGTAGCTATTTCTTAATTTGATACAGTCAAATACTGCAAAACATTGAGAAAGTAATAGAGAAAGTAGTTCCATAATTTTAAATGAAACAGGAAAATCTTTTGTAGCTAAATGATGCTTCAAGAAAAAATTGCTAAAACGTGGACGGTGAAGACCTGTCAGTACTACCATTCACTCATAAATGCAACACCCCCTTTTAAACTAAAAGGAATTATTTTTTGAGGTGTGCATTATTCTTATTTTAGAAAGAAAACTAAAATGGTTGCATTTCAGAACAATGCTGTACTTAGAAGCAAGACAGGGCAGTACTCAACATCATGCCCTGCCATTCAAAAGCAAGCTTTAGACAACCCTGTTTAAGATATTTTTTTAACTGGTGAAAGTGGTATACTTAAATATCTATATATAAAGGACATTTATCCTACCTTCCTTTAAAAAAGGCAACATAAAAAATCGGTGCATAAGAATTCACAAACTTCAGTAGGAAAGCCTTCATAATCAGTCTCTCCTCAAAGGTTTTCTCTGTTTTTGGTACCTCTGGGCGGGGGGGGAAGCAAACCAGAGAAATCAATTGTAAATATATAAACATCCCTGATATCCCCAAATACAAAACCAAACTTCAAACTTGGAGCTCATACTGCTTTTTTTCTCTTTTGTACTTTTTATTTGTACCATTCACACTAACTCTGTCACTGACTCCTGATTTCCAGAGTGTCTTTCCAAATTTCCAGATGGAAATGGAAAGTTCTTTGATAAAAACATTAAGAAAGACACCATAATGAACTTGATTCTCTGATAGGCTTCTGACAGCTTATACCAAGTTGCTCTTGGCTGTCTATCCGATACCCTGGTGGCAAAAACCCCAACGGATCCTGACACCTGGCCTGGACCTGACAGTACCTCACTTCTTTTCCAATCTCTTTCATTGTCTTGCTGAGACACCTGGGCAGACCACATCACCTCCCTCTTCTTCATGTTGCATCTGTGAAATCTTAGCACAGACCTCCTTTGTCATTTACTCTGACATCTATTATATTATTAAATATATTACTGCATTAAATATATTTTATTAGCATAATGTATATATCGTTATTATTAATAATCATAGGTAGAATTACTATATACTTAGAAGTTTCTCCTACCAGCTTTCTGGAGTTTGAAGAAAAAAATAATTGGATCTTGATATACAATTGCATAAAGCTAAAGCATTATAAATGGCTTTAATGTATATAAGCATATTTAAAGAAATTCTTTACTCTGAGGGTGGTGAGGCACTGGTACAGGTTGCCCAGGGAAGTTGTGGATGCCCCATCCCTGGAGGTGTTCAAGGCCAGGCTGGATGGGGCTTTGAGCAACCTGATCTAGTGGGAGGTGTCCCTGCCCATGGCAGGGGGGTTGGAACTAGGTGATCTTTAAGGTCCCTTCCAACTCTAACCATGCTATGATTCTAGATATATTAACATATGTAAGTATATCGCTTACACAACTGAAATAACAAAGCATTAATATTCTCAATTCATGAATGATGAAAGCAAAGTAGAAGACTTTTGTCCAGAAAAAACATCTTAAAAGCCTTCTTAACTCTGTGTGTACAAGCCTTTTTTTCTATAATGAGATTGTTAATGTGCTTAACGCTAAACACAATACTAGGTACCTTTCTGAATAAGGCATTGTGAATAAGTGAATTGTTAATTGTCATGCAAAATAAATGCAAATTTCTGCTAATGCTTCTCCATTCACTACATAGAATCTACATTTCTAGACTTCTTTAGATAACTTGTACAAATGTGTCTTAAACATTTTCAATATTCACTACTCTGTTCCCAGATTTATTTCCAATTTCCATAGAAATTTTCTAGCAACAGAACATATAGGTATAAAACAGAGGCTCTTCAAATTGACAGTAGGATCCTCTTTTAAAGATTAAATATGGGTTAAAGTCTTATACTGCCATGCTCATCCTGAGCTTTTAACTAATGTGAAAGCAGCTAATTTTATTGTGGTATGTCCTCGACTGAATTTATGTAGAACAATAGAAGTATGAAATAATATGAAAATTAAGCCAGAGCTCTGGCTTAAGGACTTCACTGAAAATACTGCTGTACTTGTACAATTTTGTTTTGGGACACAGTTTGGGTGTTTTGGTTGCTTTAGGTTTGTTTTTTTTTTCTGAAAAAAGAAGCATGGTATTTATTTGAGCACTAAAGGAACAGCAAAACTAATGAGTCCCCATTGCCCAGCTTTATTTGTGATATTTTAACCATACTTTCATAAAATGGTCAACACACAATCTGATGATCCCTAAGCCATCATTCACCTATACATATAGAAGAGCTTAATTAAAACTTCAAAGGATTTGAACAATTTGTAGATGACCCTATATGCTGGATAGATCCCCAGGACAACAGCTCAGGGCAACGGGAATATGCAATAACAGCGGTACAGCTTTCAATTTGAGGGAGAAGAATCCTAGCCTTTGCCTTATGGAGAACTCCCACAAAGATGAGCTCAGCCTCTGGATGAAGATTTACACACCATATATGGCTCCAGAGATTCACTCAGCACTTGACTCCCTCCCCACACTCAGATATACTATACCATACCAATAGAGGCATTCATAGAATTTGTCCTCTAGCTTGTGGAATCTGCTATACAAGGAATGCCTCCAGCCAGAATAGATGCACTAGTAAGAGAGAAAACTTTCCCCCAAAAAATGACACACTCATAGTATATAGTTGGTGGTGCAGCATGTTACACCAAAATTGGACAGCTGAAACTTTCCAGGTAGAGAATAAGCTGAGTTATCTGTCATGGGCCTTAGTTTACTGAAGGAGTTGCTGCCTTTATAAGGCACAAACATGACTAGTTTTGATTTTGTCCCCATTTGACTGGTTCTTCCTTGACCTGAGTGAAGTTACAGGTGAGCAAATGAGCTGTAAGTCAGGTCTGACACACACCACCTGGTTACTGAATGTGATCTATTCAATCTGAGAATGTCAGGATATAATCTGTACTTTTGCTGGTCTGATCTGAGATAAGGGGACATCAGTGCCCTGCTTAGCTGGGTTCGCGAGGGGTGCATGGAGTCCTAGTGCATCCTGTACAAGCTCTCTTTATTGATTACAACAAAACTACTACTTTTTTTTTTCCCCCCAACCACTGATTCAGCAGGTATTGAGGCAGATCCATTACTTTGTTCCTATGATTGAATCAGTTCCTATCAGTGGTACTATTCTCGTGCTTACAGACGTAATTTTTCACTTGAACAAAGATTCAGGTATGTTTGGTGTTGGAATTGAAACTTATGCTATGAAGAGCTGTTCCTCCAGCTCAACAAGTGTGTTCCTCAGCTTGTCAATTAACTGCAGTGTGAAAAGAGAATTGAGTATGTTTTGCTCTGCTCAGCAAAATGCAAGTTCACAAGGTAAGGAGCATTTATCAGCATGAATGAATTGCAATTTTTTAAACATTTTGACTACAGTTGGCATCTGAGCCTAACACTGGAAAAAACTGCCTGAATGAACTTTGTAACTCATGTAATTTGTAGCACTAGACATTACTCAGACTGGATCCTTCTTGAACAAAACACCTGATGGTTAATTAGGAATGGTGCCTAAATAAAAATAGCAGGATTAGAATTAAATGCAAAATTACAAGGGGACAATAATCTGCAAGTAAGAAATTTTTGTTTCTTTCACAAATCAGAGTGATGCACCTTTTCAGGGGTGAGATTTTCTTTCCACGCTTTCCCCACAGAGGCAATGGTAGCGGCTTAAACTTCCCAGCTTTTGCCTAGAAACTGCCAGAGAGGTGAAGTCTCACCTTCATCTCTTCCTACCCTTTCCACACAGCAGTGTCATGCCTTAATAGTTGTGCCCTTTCTTACCTGGGCAGGTGCAATGGACAGGATTGATCAGGCCACACACAGCTAGTAGCTTGTCAGTTATATGAAAGGTGAAAATCTGGGTACAATTTTGGCCCAGACAGTAAGGCTAAGCTTCCTTACATTACTCGAACACAATTCATTTGTGTAACCCTGCTCCATTCTTCCCAAAGCTGCTTCCAAACAGAAACAAACAAATTAACCCCATATGGTGGCATTTTGTGAAAATGAATTGCTTTGTCTTCATTTCTTTCAAATACTTTATGAACTTAATGTAAACTATCAGGCTATCCTTACTGGTAAGACCACGGGATCATATTTCAAAAATTCAGGATTGAACCTCTGTTATGACAACTACAGAACTTTGGTTTATGATGTTCTTCAGAAAGTAGGACTAAAATGGATATTTTCACTTGTGACTTTGAAAGTGTCTTGAGAAAGGGAGAAGAAGCGCAAATCCTAAGAGTTCCCAAGGTTTTATTCTGAAGTCTGCTAGTTCCAGCCAGCTTCACATCACTGTAGGTTCTACAGTGAGGGAATCTGCAATTTTGTGTGATGGAGTCAGGCTCCAATTAACAGAGAGTTTCTAAGTTGGATGCCTAAGTTTAGATGCCCAAAATGACAGGTAGAGCACTTGCTACACTGAAGGGCATCTGTGGTTGCTGGTTGATTTTCAGTGTTTTGAATAACTGACTTTATGTTCCTAGACTTTGAAGCATCTAGAATTAGAAGTGATGCATAAAAATGTGGGAAACAAAACTTTATGACAGCTATAAGAATCTCATGTTAGTGCCCTATCAGGAAACACCTTTGGCCTAATTTATATAGCAAAACAAAATCCCAGACTAAACCCTTATTAGTAAACATCTTTGGCATAAAGTATATAACAAAACAAAACTCCAACCTAAACCCCTATAGTAATCAAAGGATTGACTCTCCTTTAAAAGACTTAAATACATTGCCAGGCTTGTAACAATAAAATGACATGCATTAAAAAAAAAAAAAAAGTTCAACCCCTAACTGAAATACATATTATTATCAAAAGTCCAGCTCAGACATGCACCTATAATGGTAAAAAAATCCTTTGAATGGTAAGGATCTGATAAAAACCACATCAGAAAATAACATGGCAAGCATTTGAAATCCTTTGAATGGTAAGGATCCGGTAAAAAACACATCAGAAAATAACATGGCAAGCACTTGACAGTGTAGCTTTGCCAGACCCAGCAACATCTTTGAAACAAACCAATGACTTTCAGTAAACCAAGGTCCTAGAGGTAAAGATATATATCAAAATACATACCAGGTCAAAAATTCTCAATCAGCTCAAGATAAGTGGATCTTGGCACAGAGCCAGTGCAATACAGAAATACCAGCTGAGATCCTGGAAATAGCACAGCTGCTTTAACATGGCATTATGGCCGGGCTAATTAGTCCTATTAGTGGCACACTGCATGTTGCAGCTTAGACCTCTAGTTCACAAAGGCATGTCTGAGCATCTTACCCCATAGGCCTGAATATTTTCACTGGCACTCTTCAGTGGGAAATATTCCTATTAGGACTTCTTTGCATACCCTCATGTCAATACATGTAATGTACTAATGAGGAATGTGGTGAAATAGTTTTACCAATTTCTGTCAGCCATTTGGCAACAGCTCCATAAATTTCATCAAGTATAAGTATCACAACAAGGTTAATGATGACAGCAGTTGCGGTCACAGTCACTCGAACATTTGACCTGGTTGTCTCATTTGTGCTGAACGACAAAGCTGCTGCTGTAGTGATTCGATATACAATCACACCAAACACTGCTGAAAACGTCAGCATAATCTGCAAAGAAATGTACAGATAGATTAGTTCAACTTTGATACTTGCATTTAAACAGAAGCTTTGACGGATATGTTGGGTTTGTTCCCTGAATTGGTATTGTATGGTTATTTCTTACAGCAACTCAATAATACAGGGATAATCAAATTAAAATGTGAGAATTCAAAACTCTCTAACAGGGACATAATGAAGAAAATATATGCAGAACTCTGAACTGGCACAATTCCTGAAGATGTGCATATCCTCTGTGATTAAAGCTCTGCACGTTATCCGTGCAGTACTGGTGAAACGCAGGTAGTTTGGGTTCAAATGCAGGTATTAAGCAAGGTCTTTTTTCTGGCAATAGGTCCAGATGGCTGGGACCGAAGGGCCTACATGTACACGCAGTCAAGCAAATGGGCTTTACTGGCTGAAACAGCTTCACCTCTGCACAGAAGAAGTGGCACCTAACTCTCCAATCGTCTTTGCTCAACTTTTGCCACAAATTAAAAAATAAATTAAAAAAAGAATCTCCTTGTTATTATTCTTTTAAGACTGACCTAAACACGGTTACTAAGGCTCCACTTTACATTTCTGTCCCAGAAATCACTTGGTATCCTGGCATACTTCATGGGCAGGCTTTGACCCATGAAATGAGGAAAGTCAGCCTTGATACTTAAGGTCAAATTCCCACAAGAAGAATTAGAATTTCACAGGGCTGTGGTATTCTGGTTTCCAAAAACCCCCACTCCACTATGAAAAAAAATCAATAAAATAACAATAAAAAAGTAGCAAATTTTCATAGCCATAGCAGGAAAGGGGGACAGGGTACATTTTTCTCTTTCATTTTTGCCTTTGGCAAGAATTCCAATGTACATTCATCATTTTAGGTAAAACATCTTGAGATCCTCAGATAAAAGAGACTACCTCAATATGAAAGATTAGACTATTGCAATTATTGCAATGGGCCTAGGGGCCCAGATTCACAACACAGATTTAAGGAAATTTACCAGTTCATTTTAATGACCCAGCAATAGTTTATTGAATTCCTGTATATAGACGGAGGTTGTCTTATGAAAAAGTGCTATTGCAAAAGAAACAGAACAAGAATCAGAGCTACATTAAAGGTTAAAGATGAAAACTGGGCACATTTTGTTTTAATGGAGAACTAGTAAACATACCAAGAAATAATGATTTGGAGAAAGTCCTGGAGATATCAGATGAAATTCACAAATACATTTTGTGAGAAAATAGTAATAACATGTCAGATCTAGTAAAATTTCTAAATTTTACCTTTTAAATAAATGTTTCATTAACTTTAAATGAAATGTAGCTTAATGATGAGTTTTTGCTTTATGCTAACATTTTTCATTCAAATATGGGTCTAAAGAAAAAAAACTAAACATAAACCACTTTGAATGAAATGGTTCAAATGGCATAAAATATTTTTTCCTTTCCTTTTATAGTTTTCATTGTCTTGAGAAAACAGTCCTAATTTTTCTGCCTGTTTTTGTCTTTTTTCTTTTGACTTGCCTACAAAACATGCAGGCAAAAATCTGATTCATGTTGAACTATCTGCACAGCTCTTGCTGTCACAGAAGTGGTGCAGGAACACAAACACCAGTACTTTCAGCTAACTTGCCCATTGCAGAAGCAATCTCTACAGTAGAGAGTAATATCCCCAATAAAGAGAGAAAACAAAACAGCACCACCTGGCAGTAATCTAATTCACCTTCCACCTCTGCAGTCACCTCTCTTTTCTCAGTTTGGGTCACGGATTCCTTCCTCTTAATCACCTTCCAAATATTCTTTTTCTGTTTCTTTCCCCTGTGGATTTCTTTGAAATTTTTACTATGGTGGTGAACAGGGAAAACCAGCAAAGTAAACTTTTATGTATCATTCTGGAGATGATGAGCTCTCTGGACCTCCATAGACACCTATCTCCGTCACAAGCTTCTACTTAGAAATGATATCTTAACAGTACAGGAAGAAGAGTCATCAAGGACAGTTATCACTAAATAGAGAAAGAAAAAATTTCAGGTCATGGAAGTTGAACAGCAAATTTTTAAACCTGACAGAAGGATTTAAGGGACGTATAGCAATGAGAAAGATCACTGGAAGGTCAGATACTATCAGAGGCTTGCACTATTGTGGCCTTTTCACAGTGCCATAGCAAGACATTTAAAGCTACCCAAAAAATATGTTTTATTTGTTTAAAGAACAAAGATACTGGTTTTGCAAAAGCACCAGGGCTTCAGAAAATCCTCAGCTGCCCAGCTGTTTTTAAACATTTGCTTAGACACAGATGGAAAAACACTCCTTTAGGAGTCTTCATTATCTGTGCATCCAGCAACAAAAGAAAACTGAGGAGAGTTTGTAGGACTGCACAGTAACTGAGAGCATAGTTCTCACTCCCCAGACAGTGACTGAGAGGGAGTGATTCCTCTATCTTCACACCATTTCTTCCATTCCTGAAAATACCTCTTTTGCCCAAATTCCAGATCAGAAGGTCAACTTTCATTCAGGTGCCTACTTTCAGTTTTGTTGTCATTGTCAACATTTCATCTGGCCAGTTCTATCCCCTACTATGGCAGACAGTTTCTTTGCCGAATGTCTAAATTAGTCTGTCAAGGACTGAATTGCTTAGAAACAGATGTGAAAATTGGCTGCAGAAAAGGTCACCTACTGAGCCTGGTATGAATGAAGACAAACAGGAAAGCATACTAGATCTGAGAAGGAAGCTATAAAACCCCCTGGGCTAGACTGATACATTTATCCAAGTAGGATAACAATTTAATGTCCAAACAGTTCTTTGGCTCCCCAGTGGGGCTATTCTAAAGTATTATGCCATGTGAATAAGAGCAGGGCAATAGGGTCCAAAAGAAGGAACAGGCCGAACTCCCGTGCTATGACACTAATTGGTTTTCTTCCTTCCTCTGACTGAGCCAAACACAATGAACACAAAAAAAGTCTCCAGTGATGGCGTTGCTCCATGCCATCCTGCTCTCTTCCAGCAGCCATCACCATTTTCACCACACACTGGGACATCTTTGCTACAACATGTACCTGCTAAATGCGGAGTTTCTAAACTCAAATATATAACTTCAAATATATGTTATTGCTAGTCACACACAAGCCAAACTTGTATATGCCCAGCTGAGCCTAGACCTTCTGGTATCACTGGTCTTACTGGGGAAAAATAAGACTGGTGAAATTCAGTTCTAAAATCCCTGCAAAAGACATTGCTTAAATCAAGGTTGGATCTTCTACCCTCTCTCCAGTCAAGTAAGGCTTTGTGTACAACAAAAGAAATGTGACCAGATTTTAAAGCATCTATAAATGTGTAAAATATTCCTTGGTATTATTTGGTGGTGTAAAACACCAAGACCGATTGGACAAGAGAACCAAACCCAACACTTTTTTCAACCTGCGCTTTTAAAGAAACAAACAACATGCCTAGCTTAATAAAGACAGAAGAAAAGCCAGAAAGAAAAAAAACACAACACAGTTCTTGAAAGAGGATTCACAAATGTGAAGTACACAAAAGAAATACACAGACGAAAAATAAAGAGAAAAGCTTTCACAATATGAAAACTGTTAGCAGCTTCAAGAATCATCAGGGAAAGCCTGGCACCTAAAGCTGGGGGAGGGAGGGACAGAACACGGCATCATCATTCTATAGCAATGTAGACATCTTAATGGAAAATGCCTATGGGTTTGTGCCACCAGACCTTTAGGGCCTGGAAAAAGCAGTATTAAAAACTCAGCAATCACTTCTGCAAAGCATTAGAAATTGCAGCACATATTTGTGAATATCCGTCTCCGAGACTTCTATGTCTGTGTGCTGTATACGTGCACACACACACACGTAAATTCAAGATTTCATCACCTATCATGTACGTAGTGCTTACAGCTAAAAAATTAGTCTGTGTGAATAATAATAATGGCGGTAGATGAGACCAATTTAGTTTCCTCGGTGCAATGCTATTGCACAGGCTGACAATGAACTTTAATCTGGTGTTTCCAATCCCTGTTTAACTAATCTAGGAAAAAGGAAAAAAAAAAAAAAAGGAAACATCACATACAGTAAAGAGTAGATTGTAATCTTCAGGTGGGAAAGCAGAGCTGGCTCTCCCTCATCAAGATCTGACTTGAATTTCACACATGGTTTGTTAAGTTGTCTCCTGTAGGTGCTTACATCTTACTAATGCTCAAAAGATTCTAAAAAAGTCATTGTGGCCACTTCTCCAAATGGTGAAAGCCAGCATAGTTCCAGTAGTCATTAACAGAAGTTGAAGAATCGGAGCTCTACATTTTACCTTTATAAATGTCTGTGAGATGTTACAGTAAACAGGGAGTGTAATACATATATAACTCAGGAAAGCACTTTAAGCTCATGCTTAGGGGAAATTTAAACATGTGGTTAAAGTCAAGAGCACATGTAAGCACCTTGCCTGCAAAAGAATGACTTGTAAAAGCTAAATCAGGGCTATGCTCTTAGTCATACTTAGTATACACTACTTTAAGCAAAGTCCCAACTGATGCCAGTTAGAAGTTTGGTCTAAAAAGCAAATGTTTGGTATGGCCTCAGGATGATAAACTCACTCAAAGTGTTGTAAGTGCATATATATACGAATGACACACCTAATATGTACAGAAAATATACTTAATATACAATACGCATATCTTCATAAATATGAACACATGTATTTATAAAAATGCAGACATTAAGTTGAGTTCAGTGTGAATATACAGTATTTTTGATTGCCAGAAAAAGAAGTTAAATCTTCACAGGATATCTGTTGCAGTATATGCAAATTCAAGTAAATTAGAAATACATGGAGGTATTTTAAAATAATTTAGTCCCTAAGTAAATTTCCCATGTCAGATGTTCCTGTGGTGTAAACCGGCATATTTCATTCAGTAATTTCTGTAACCAGAAGGATAATGGGATCCTTGAAAATGTAATTTAAGGTTTATTAGCCAGGCTTTCCTATTGCTGTTTACAAAGTCTAGCAGCTTGATGATGTGTTTATGGTCTGTTGGAAATTTCGCTAAGAGAGGGGTGTCCGCACTTCACAGTTGGCTGACCTGCACACCTTATTCTTATTCTCAAGCGAGGGTTGTATACCATGGTCTTCCTTGACTACAGGATAGGCCATCCCTGAATGTGTGTTGGACAAATACCTCTCAGCAACAGATTTATGTCACCTGCATGTCACCTGTACAGCAGGCTCAATGCTTCTGAACGTCATTCTGATGGAGCATATGCAATACTGTGCACATAAGCAAACACACAGTGGGCTTCCCTTCATAAGATAATGGAGGATGGAGCAGAAACCCTGTGGGAGAGACAACATCTAGCAACAAGCTGCTGTCGTTACAGCAAGTCATCCAGCCAACAGCCCTCTCATAAGCAGCCTTTGGAAAAAGAGGGTAAAGCTGGAGGGAGGCATTGAGGTCTACGAGTCTTCCTAGTAGGACACTTAATTCTCACGAACTGTAGGTTATAACCCTAGCTCTCTTCAGATCTGTAGCATCTTTGAGAACACTAATTTAGGATTCCACTCAAGATGCTCATTGCAATGTTTCTCACACCTAATAAATGTGGAGAAATGCAGATTATATTACCATAAATAAAATCAATCCAAAGTTTGCTGCATATCCAGGCATACGGTCACTCCATGTCAGCTTCTTCTTATCATTCTGTGACAAAACACAAAGATAAAATAACAGACATTACAGAACTCTACAACAGCAAATACTAAGACTTAGTAAGATCTGTTACTGAAAAACGTTCTCAATTCCCCTACTCCTGTTGTAATTTTGAAGGTGATTAAAAGATTTAAAACACAGATGTTTTAAAGCAGACTTTAATTTGAGAGAAAAGTGGGTAAGAGGGTAAATAAAACATATATATAATGTCTGCAAAAATCAGAAAATATCGTATGTAACTATGATTTTAATATTTGAAAAAATGTATTCAACTCTTACTAAATTACATGATATCAGGAGAAAGTACTGAGATTCGCCTTACTTTACATTTAGGCAAAGCAAGATTCAACCATTTTTTTTTTAATTGCTTCTTATGAAACTTCAGAAGAATAGTGCTTAAGACAGAAATCATGAAAAGAATGCTTACTAGCATTGAACCCAGATTTTTTGTCTAATGGTTACCTTAACCAGATGTGGCCACTAAGATCATTCTTGCAAAGACACCCCAATCCTTCTGCTGGCACTTGGTCTATAGAAGAGAGAAACTACAAAGGCAAGCCCCCTCTGTGATCTCTGCTGCCAACCTTGTTTTCTTCATGTGCAAACAACATCTCTTCACTGTGTAATTTAAAGCAACTGTGATCAGTGAAACATAGTATGCCTTTACCCTACCCACACAAACTCAACTCCATCTCTAGGAACCTGTACATCTAAAGAAGATATTTGAAAATGGATTTATATAAGAAATATGATTCCCTCCTCTCAAAATAGGTTTCTTAAAATAATAATAAGGTCATTACTTTGTTTAAGTTAAACTAAAACTATATAATCAAATTAACTAAGGACACAGAGCCAGCTGCTGTTTGCATTTCTGTGAACCACCGTTGCTATCCCATGGTCTTGTACTTCACTTACATTGGAGTTAACCCAGAGTTATTATGAATTTAAATGAATTTAAATCAGATTAGAATTCAGGTCAAAGGTTTCAAATAAAACATCTCTAAGGCACAATTGTCCCCAGGTAAAAATAAAGATCTGGGAGTATTATGCCTTTGTAAAAGGCTTTCCCAAAGTAGCAGTAGGAATACAGTGTATACTCCAAGTGCAGAAATGCAGCTGTGACTTTTCTTATGGAGTTTACTGGGATGTGGAATTAGACTGAAGACATGATCCTATCTACACATCCATTGCCATTATGGTGGTGTCTCAAACACTGTGGGAAGTAGTAGCGCTCAGCATCCCCTCTTCTCAGCTCAGCTGTTCAAACAGACAAGTTAAACATGTCTGTTTTGGGAGAATGCTGGCAGGACTGGGTCGTAGAAAACCCAAGCAGAAGCACAAATAATTTGGCCCAGTGTATGCAGTACATAAATACTCCATACAGTACATAAATGGAGTCCTTCATTTAGCTGGAAGGCTACTTTAAAAAGCATTTCTGTGAAAGCACAGATGCATTTCATTTCATTTTGGCTTTTACCACTCAGCAATTATACAGGACATAAAGAAGGTCTAAGTGATTATACTCCAAGAAGGCCTGAAGGACACCGTGTCTAACAATTTCACTAGGGGAAAAACACTAAACAAGTAAACCAGCAGAATGAGTTAATGCTAGCCAAAGCGATTAAAGGAAAGAAGAAAATCTTTCATAACTATACTGAGGTGGAAAGACAAAATTGTTTTTATGCAATAAGGCCAGTAAGAGGGAAAAATCACCAAAACAACTACTGCAAAAATCTTACTAGAAGTAGGAATTTTGGAAAACAAGAAATCATTCATCAAAATGAAACTTTCATATATCACGAATCCAAATCATGAGTGGCAAAGTGACTAAGGGTTTTCACGTTTTGGGGTTTGGTTTTTGTTCAATATTTCTCGTAGTGTAAGACATTGACTGTATTTTGAAATGATAGCAAGGATTCTGACATGATCTACTGGCTTTCCAAATCAAGAAAAAAGTTACATGCTGGAAGACTCCTGGTAATGTCTCAGCAACTTACAAAACTGAGAAATTAAGGAATACCTTATGAATCAGTTGTCCGTGGTGAAAAAGAAATAGTCAAAATAGCTGTTTGCCCCACCTTTTTTTTTTTTCTTTAGTAAAACAGAACTGGATAGTTAAAGGACAGAAATAGGAGAACTAGGGAAAATGAGCAATGATTGAGAGATTAATATCAGAAGCTAAGCTGTGCCTAAGCCTATATTTTTAGGCATAAAAAGACATTAGAATTAATCCATTTAAGGATCCCAACTTCAGAAGAGTTTAAGGACTGCAGTTATTAGAGTGTTTACCCTTTTAGATCTCAGCATGCACATTACGAATGCAGAAGCATCTAGCATCACCAGTCAGTTTGGAAGCCCTAGGTTTAGCACCTGAATACTTGTTTAACATAAATTGTTGCTTTTCAAGAAAACTTTGTGCGTGATGAGTTCAATAAAATAAGTTCCTGGAACAAAGATTTAGAAGCATAACCAATTCTTAAAATTTCAATTTATTACTGGGAATAACTAAATGAAATGACTGCCTCCCAAAGATACTACCTTGCTGACCAGAAAAAAATAGTCCTTTCTCTTGTGGTACATTGACCTTGGCCAGCTGCTAGACACCCACCCAGCCATACTCTCCTTGCTTCTCCTCAACAATATAAGGGGAGAAAACAAGATGAAAAAGATTGTGGGTTGAGATAAAGACAGGAAGGTGACTTACCAATTACCATCACAGGCAAACGAGACTTAAATTGGGGAAAACAATATTAATTTATTACTATTTAAAATAGATTTTGATGCTAAGAAATATAAACAAAACTAAAAACTTCTTCCACTTCATCCCCCTCCCAACTTCTTCCAAGTGCCTATTTCAGTCCTTCATTCCCAACTCCTTTATTTTCCTCCCCAAACAATACAGGGGGATGAGGAATGATGGGTTATGGGGTTAGTCCCTAACAGCACCTCTCTGTCATTCCTTCCTCCCCATACTGTTCCCCTGCCCCAGCATAGGTCCTCTCCATGGGCTGCAGTCCTTCAGGATAAACCTGCTCCAGTGTGGGCTCTCCACAGGACACAGTTTCTTCAGAGAATATCCACTCACTCCAGCACAGGATCCTCCACAGGCTGCAGTGTGGGTATCTGCTCCATGGTGGTCCTCTCCATGGGCTACAGGGAAATACCCGCTCCACCATGATCTCTCCAGGTGCTGCAAGGCAATTTCTGCTCAGACACCTGGAGCATCTCCTCTCCTTCTGCTCATGGTGCTCACAGGGCTGTTTCTCACACTTTTTCCCCTCTCTCCTCGCTGCTGGCCAGCATGTTACCCTTTCTTACACACGCTTTCCAGGAGGTGTCACCATCTTGCTAAGGGGCTCTGCTGTGCCCTGCAGTGGGTCTGTTGGAGTGGTCCCAGTCTCTCCTCAAAGGCACGCCTGAAGCCACTGCTGCTAGTGCCTGGACGCTAGCATCTATGGTGTTGGTGCAAACACATAAGGAAAATCACATTTGATTTTGAACAGTTAAGAAGGCAATGCAGGTTGAACAGAGCTCAATGGAGTGACAGACATTCTGGCAGTGCTTTCCCAGTGTCTTCTTACAATGAAGGGGGAAATCAAGAAGAGGAGAGAGGAGAGGGTGTGCATGGGAAAGGACAAGTGGATAAAGGAAGGAAGAGAAGCTCAGCATGCCATCTAGTCAGCTTTCTCTTTCATGCATGTGCTTCCATGGAGGAAAATAAGGTTATCAGGAGTGGTCAACGTGGATTCACCAAGGGGGAATCATGCTTGACCAATCTGATACCTCTCTATGATGGCATGACTGGATGGGTGGATGAGGGGAGAGCAGTGGACATCACCTACCTCAACTTCAGCAAGGCTTTTGACACTGTCCCCCTTAACATCCTCATAGGTAAGCTTAGGAAGTGTGGGTTAGATGAGTGGACAGTGAGGTGATTAAGAACTGGCTGAATCGCAGATCTCAGAGGGTTATGATCAGCAGTGCAGAGTCTAGTTGGAGGTCTGTAGCTAGCTGTGTTCCCCAGGGGTCTGTACTGGGTCCAGTCTTGTTCAACATATTCATCAACAACCTGGGTGAGGGCACAGAGTGTACCCTCAGCAAGTTTGCTGATGATACAAAACTGGGAGGAGCAGCTGAAACACGGGAAGGCTGTGCTGCCATACAGCAAGACCTGGACAGGCTAGAGAGCTGGGCGGAGAGGAACCTTATGAAATTCAATAAGGGCAAGTGTAGGGTCAGTCACCTTGGGAGGAATAAACCCATGCACCGGTACAGGTTAGGGGTTGACTTGCGGGAAATCAGCTCTGTGGAGAAGGACCTAGGAGTCCTGGTGGACAAGTTGACCATGAGCCAGCAATATGCTTTTGTGGCCAAGAAGGCCAATGGTATCTTGGGGTGCATTAAAAAAAAGTGTGGTCAGCAGGTCGAGGGAGGTTATCCTCCTCCTCTACGCTGCCTCAGTGAGGCCGCATACGGAGTACTCTGTGTAGTTCTGGACACCTCCATTCAAGAAGGACAGGGAACTACTGGACAGAGTCCAGTAGAGGGGTACAAAGATGATCAAGGGACTGGAGCACCTCTCTTATGAGGAAAGGCTCAGAGACCTGGGTCTGTTTAGCCTGCAGAAGAGAAGACTGAGAGGGGATCTTGTCAATGCTTGTAAATATCTAAAGGGCGGGTGTCAAGAGGATGGGGCCAGATTCTTTTCAGTGGTGTCCAGGGACAGGACAAGGGGCAATGGACGCAAACTGAAACACAGGAAGTTACATCTGAACATGAGGAAAAACTTCTTTACTTTGAGGGTGGCAAAGCACGGGAACAGGCTGCCCAGAGAAGTTGTGGAGTCTCCTTCTCTGGAGGTATTCAAAACCTGCCTGGATGCGTTCCTGTCCAACCTGCTGTAGGTGAACCTTCTTTAGCAGGGGGGTTGGACTGGATGATCTACAAAGGTCCCTTCCAACACCTACCATTCTGTGATT